CTTTTTGACTTTTTTGATTTTTTTTGTAAGAGAATAGTGTAATGATTATGGGTTGGATATGATGTTTTGGCTTATTTTGGGAAGATGATACAAAGTGGCTTTTTGATTTTTAACCAAGCTTTTGGCTTTTTTAGACAAATGATTTGAAAAGTTGGTAAAAAGTAACTTTTGACTTTTTTGATTAATGTTTGTTTATGATGTCAAATCATAATAAAATGACTAAACTACTCCTATTTATTTAAAATATTTACAATTTTACCTACGTAACACATTTTGACCCATGAAAGTAAAATTGTAATTTCACCGTTGGCTAAAAACCAACTTCCCAAATGAAAAAAAGACAAAAAAGTCAACTTTTGACTTTTGCTACAAATCAAAAAAAATGGCTAAAAGCCAACTTTCCAAAATAGCCCTTTATTTATTGTGATTAAAATAACTTATTTTATTTTTTATGACTAAAATAACCAAAAACAAACTCACAACCAATCTCGCCAAATGGAGCCTTAAAAGAAGAAATGACTATAAAAAGGAGTGAGCTTTATGTGCACTGTGCAGTTAACTTTACAAATGTCGTGAAATTCTTAAGCTTCTCACTCACAATTGCTGTATTAAATTGTTCAGTACATTTCAGAAAACAACCTTTTTTGAAAAGGCCATATTTTGTTTTTTAGAAACTTATTTTATATTTTTCTTTTAAAAAGTTAAAATTTAATTTTGTAAAAAAATAAAAAAAAAACAATTATTATTTTTTTAGAAGCATAAATAATTTTAAAAATTTTAAAATATATATTTTTGATATTTATTTTTATCAAACTAATTTCTATTTTTCTTTAAAAAAAAATTAGAAAATGGTTTGAGAAACTTAAACCAAATCTTGATCATAATAGACACAAGTGTTTTTTACCAAGCAAAATTTGAAAAATGTGGAATAAATTATTATTAATAATATTACACGTAATTGAGCAACGAGAATAGAGAGAGAAAAAAAATTTTAATTTCATATTTTTAGATTATACTTGTTTTATTATTAAGTGTTATTTAAGATTATTCTTGAAACTTTGATTTTTTTTACACAAAATTCCATTTAAATTTTTTCCCCCTATAACCTATTTGATTTTTTTTAGATAGGATATTATCTGAAATAAAGATCTCGAAAATAGTATCTCAAGAATTAGATTTGGACGTAATTTGTAAATTTTGACTAAACTGTGAGATAAAAAAATTAAAATGTTTGAAAAATGATTTTTTAACTACTTAATTATTTTTAGTGACCTTTTGTTATTTACAAACAAAGCCTATGAATGATATAAAATCACAAGAAAAATCCATATCATTGGGAGTCTGGGAGATGAACAAGCCCTCATTTGGCATGTTTGCAGCGAGGACGATACATTGTCGGGACTTGCAGACATTGATGTATGTGTTCCACTACCCGCGTCCCCACCCCTTCCCCCTCATGCGCACGTTACCCCACACCCCTTCTTTCTCTCTCTCATTTGGACAGAGTCCATCCCCAAGGCCAGGTTAAGGTATACTAGGGAGGGAATTAAGTAAAATTATATTTGTTTTAATAATAATTATTAGTGTAAGAATTGTTAAATTATTTTTATATAAAATAATAAAAAATATAAAAAATTAAATATTAATGTTCAAAAAAAAATTCTCAATATGTAAAAAATAAAAAAATTTATAATCTCCTCACTATTTTTCTAATACCACATTTACCTCTTCCATCTCAATCCTCTTTCCAACCTACATCTTAATCCCCTCCTCCATCCTAATCTATTCTCCAACTCTACAAACAAAAACAACACAACACTAAATAGCCTCACTTCCATCCTAATCCCATTCCATTCTTTACACCACAAAACAAACGGGGCCTTTAAGAATAATCCAGATCCTCTCTTTGATCTCTATTTGACTTCTTACTTGCAAGGTCATTGGGCTTACATTTGGACTTAATTTTGATGATTCGAACTGTTTACATTTTAAAATTTGTTAAATATATCATACTTGTAAAAAATCAAATTGATCAGATATCAGAAAACTACGTATTTGGATCATCGAACTAAAAATTACTTTAAAAAAAATTTAATAAACAATTTTCTGAACACATACTTTTTGATATCCTAACAACTTAATTTTTTATAAGTATGATATACTCAACAAATCTTAAAAATAGGTCCAATGGCTTAACAAATAAGGAGTCAAGGGGAAAGATGAAGGAGAATCTTGATTCCTTTAAGAAAGGGGATTAAATTAATAATCTATAGAATTCATTTAAAAAGTATTTGGTTAGAGATATAAATAAGAAGATTAATTATTCCCTTAAATTAGTAATCTTTTCATGTGATAGGACTAACAAAATCTTAGAAGGGTTGAGATTAGAAATTAAGTGAGGGGATTAGTGAAATTTTAAATGATTTTTTAGCAAAAAATATACTTTTTAGAATAAAAAAATACTAAAACTTAAAAAATATTAATTTTATAGATTAATACTATCTATAATATTACTAAACCGGTGATATATAAATAAACACTCTTTATCTTACACCTCCAATCTAATGCCACCACACCAATAATTTCTTGGGTCCAGCTTGTCTCAAGTTGAGATCAAGACTGGACCCGTCCAGTTCGGCCCATGGGGCCTATTTTTTGGGTCCGTTTTGATAATCTGAACCGATGAATGTGTAGAAATCGTCGAGTACTACATGCTTGTAAAAAATCACATTGATCGGATATCAATAGCTATGTAATCAAATTAGTTTTGTATAAAAAAATGGACGGTGAAACAATTAACGATTGATAAAAAACTGTTTTGTTCACATAGTTATCGATATCCGATCAATGTGATTTTTTACAGGCATATAGTACTGGACGAGTTCTACACATTGAACGGTTCGGATTATCAAAACGGGACCCGTGGTGGGCCCCCACGGACCCAACAGCACGATCCAGTCCGATTTTGGACTGGACCAGAGCCACTGCCTAATTTCTTTACTCAATCCCACCGTACTCTTAGGCATCATTTAGTAACTCAATATTTTAACTTAAAAGTCACTAAAAAAATTAAAAAGTCATACAAAAAGTAAAAAAAATTATTTTTTTTTAACTTCTTGCACATATTTTCGTAAAAAACTAAAGAGTCATTTCAAATATATAATTTTTTTTTATCTCATATTTTAACCAAAAAAAATCAAAAAAATTATTAAAATAACTTATCCCCAAACGAGGTCTTAATCCCTCCACCCTATGGAGAAAAAAAAACGTGGCCTTAGAAAAATGAGAAAATATTGGTTTGTCTTGGACACTGTTACGTGATGTTTCATTAATATTATAATTAGTGAAGAAAGTAGGATTTATAAATTTATATTAGATGATTTAAAAATAAAAAAGAATATGATGAATTGTGATTAATGTAGGACATTGCCATATAACAGCCAAGACTAACCAATAATTTTTCTAAAGAAATACTAAGGGACCTAAGACCCTCATCATCGCTATGTCATCGTTTGAAAAGATGAGTCCGGGTGTGTTGGGTTAAAATAATCATAAAAAAAAAAAAAAAATTTTAGTCTCAAATTAAAAAAATATTATATTTAAATCTTAATTATTTTATTTTTTTCTATCACAAAATTTTAAAAAACTAAAAAATTTATGTTAAATGAGACTTTTTAACCCCGAATTAAAATAGTTAAAAAATCAAAAATAAAAAACAACTCAAATCCCAAACCAACTCAATGCATAGACCCCCATCATACAATATGTAGACCCACATCAACCACATCTCAACACACATAACATAGGGTCTTTCAGTCATTTTAAACCATTATTTTTTAAGTATTCATTTGATATGAATTTTTTTAATCTAACTTTTATTATTTGACTATTCTAATCTAAATCTAACTTTTATTATTTGACTATTTTAATCTAAATAAAAAATTATGTTTAGAATAATTTTTGGTATTTTTTTAAGTTAAATTAATGAAATTATGTTTAGAATAATTTTTGGTATTTTTTTAAGTTAAATTAATGATTGTGAAAGTAAAAATAAAATAATTATAATTTACATGTCACATTTTATCTTATTAATTATTTTAAATGAAAGTAAATTATAAATACATCTTTTGAAATTTATTTAGAATACAAATTATCTCTTATGATTTTAAAAATTATATCTAGGGATGTAAAATAAATAAATAAAACCGAGTCTACAAATCGAAACTGACTGAAATTTTAGTATTCGGTCATTTTTCATAACATACGTTCTGTTTTGGTTTTGAAATTTTTTATACCAATACAAACCAAACCAACCAAATATTATATTTAAATATTTTTATATTTTAATTTCTTAAACATTATGTGAGAATAAACTAATATAATACACTTTTGTAATAAAAATTATAGAGAAAAACATTTATACAGCAATTTTCATATATTTTCTTTATTTATTTTTAATTTAAAATTCTATAATCTATTATAAAGCCATTTAAAAGTTCATGTAAAATTTTCTTCTATATCCAACTGACAAAACCGAACTGTAGTATACGGTCTATGTTGGTTTTTCAAGCATAAAAATCTAAAGGATTAGTTCGGTGCTAAATATACTCTCAACACCAACCGAACCAAACCATTTACACCCCTTACATCCGACCTCTTGAAAATTTTAGTTTCATAACAAATTATATTTTTTATTAATAAATTATTAAATCAATTAATTTTTTTAATGACATTAAAAAATTATTTTAATTAATAATTTAGATAATTTTATTATTATATAAAAAAAATAGTTAAAGATTTTATTTTTTAATTAATTCTGTTAAATAAAAATTTATAAAGGGTAATTTATTTTTTAAATAAACTTTAAAAATGTGCTATTTGTAATTTATTTATTTATTTTTAATATCATGTTGGACAGTCATTGTTCGACTAATGTTGTTCCAGTGGGTGACAGTATAGAGGATTGGAATTGAAAGCTTGACTTCTTGAACTTTGACAGCCCCAAAACCATTTACAAGAAGGGGGGACAAAGATCCTTATCGTACGCCTGGGTAGTGCTCACTCTGTTAACGTACACACACCTCCACTACCAGAACAAGAAATGTTTTGAGACTGATGAAAGAGAAGAATAGCCCCACAAAGGGCCAGAACCAAACCCTAGCTCGTGCGTACCCAACTGAATCTTACTGTTAAGGTACATACACAACTTTCTTCTTTCCAAATCTCTCTCTCTCTCCTCCCCCCCCTGTGTGTATGTGTACTACATGTTCACGAGAAGAATGAGCTGATTTGCGATCGAAAGATGCGATTTCAAGTTGGCTTGGTTGTAGATCTTTACTTGTTTCAGGGTTTTGGAGATGGGTTTTGTGTTCTAAACAAGCTTCGACTCAGATCTGGGTTTTGAGATCTAATAAAGATAGTGATTAGGGTTTTATGGGAAAGAAAGAAAACCCACATGGGTTTTGTTTGATTTGCCGTCACATGGTTGGCTGGGTTGGGGATTGAGATAAGGTTTTTTGGATTCTATCTGTTGGAATTTGGGGCTTCTTCATTGGATCTCAATCTATAATATATTAGATATTAGCTACCAAACAAAGTAAAGAACAAAATAGAGAAGAACCTAAAGAGCTATCTGGGTCTTATCTTTACATTTCTTTCTTGGTGGTGTAATCTAATCTCCCAATTGATTTTAGCCCAATGTGAAGAAAGGAAGAGAGCTAGGTTGTTGCATTCAAGATTAACAGCTGGGTTTCCTCTAATAGAGAGAAAAACAAGAGTTGTTGAAACAGTGAGAGTTTTGTTGAAGACATGGCGAACCGGTGGTGGGCCGAGAATGTGGCGATGAACCCGATGCGAAACACTGCAGACGACGATGATAATGGTGGATTGAATCGGCTTGGAGGACCTACAAGAGAGCAAGATTTCCTAGACAATACAACCACCAGAGACAATCTAAACCCTAGTTCCAGCAACCAAAACCCTCACGAAGACGAAGAAGAAAGCCGAGAAAACGACGGAGACCAAGCAGAAAACCCGACAGCCGGAGCACTTGGATTTTCCAAACCGGGCACTTCTTCCGGCCGCCGACCCAAAGGCCGACCGGCCGGTTCAAAAAACAAACCCAAGCCTCCTATCATCATCACCAAGGAAAGTCCCAACGCCCTTAGGAGCCACGTGTTGGAAATCAGCAGCGGCAGCGACATCGCCGAGAGAATCGCCACCTTCTCGCAACGCCGCCACCACGGTGTCTCGGTGCTCAGCGGCAGCGGTGTTGTCACCAACGTAACGCTCCGCCAAGCGGCTGCCCCTGGCGGAGTGATTACGCTCCACGGAAGGTTCGAGATACTGTCATTGTCGGGTTCGTTTCTGCCCGCTCCGTCCCCGCCCGGAGCCACCGTGTTGACGGTGTATTTGGGGGGCGGGCAAGGGCAGGTGGTGGGAGGAATTGTGGCGGGCGCTTTGGTTGCGGCAGGGCCTGTAATTGTGATTGCAGCTACGTTTTCAAATGCGGTTTATGAGCGGTTGCCGCTGGAGGATGAGGAGGGAGGAGAGGGAGTAGGAATGCAATTGGAGCCAAATTCAGGAGTGAATAATGCAGGAAGTAATAGTAGTTCAGCATCTCAATCTCATGGTTTGGCTGACCCGTCTTCTTCAATGCCATTGCCTGTATACAATGTTCCTCCTAGTCTCCTACCCAATGATCAGATGCCTCAACATGATGTGTTTTGGGCTCCTCCTCCCCCTCCCCCTCCTTATTGAGAGAGAGAGAGAAACAGAAACATGGTTTTAAATATCTGTTGTTTGTTATGTATCGTATCGGCTGATTTGTAATGGAATTTTGAAATTCTAATACCGTTACTTACTGATGTATCAGTTGATACTATTAATATTGCCGATGCTGATATGTATTCTGAAACCGTTATTTAAAATCATGAAGAGAGAGAGAGAGGAATTGTTTGTTTTTGCAATAAGTCAGATTCGAGTTGATGTAACCATAGCAAGGTATGACCTTTTTGGTAATACCTGTACTCCTTGTGCATCATAGTTTCTCTTTAGCTAGGTTTTCTTGTTTGATTCATTTGTAAATTTTGTGTGTTTCTTTCACTTTCCCCTTCACTTTCACTTTCATTGTCTACTTTGGTAGAAGTTTTCATTTTGCAATGTGTAGGCTAGGCAATGAAGTGGATGACAAAGTAATCAAGAAATGGAGTCTAAGCCGTTGATTCATGGGATGATGAGATTGAGAAAAGAAGCTGTTCAATGGTAAGCTTTTCAAACTTGTGTTTTCATTCCCCTTATATCTTTGTTTAAAGTCCTTGGATTTGATGTTGCTTGATAGAATAATTTCTGAATTCTCTAGAACTTGTAGACCATAACTATGAGAGAGAGAGTGTAGGGTTTGGTTCATCTGCATACCGTATGAATCTGTCTTTTCATGAGTTCCAAGTTGGGTTAATAAATGTTGCTTTATCATCATTGTGGTTCGTAGGATAGTTCCGGAAATGGGTTTTGTCCACTTGATTTGGTAGTTGGAACCTTTATGCTGGGGTTAGGGTTGGATCTGAGGAGGGGCCATTGAAATCCTAAATGAGTAAATTGACAGTTAGCTGCCAATCTTCTGAATAACTATTCCTGAACATTAATGGCATTTATGGTAAGGAGTGGATGGATTGAACTATATTAGATTGGATAATGTTATATGCACTGTATTAATTAATAATGTGATATAATTTATGATGATGTTATATATATATCAATTAGTGTATCAATATTAATTATGACATTATTATTGATTCCATTCATTAATCATATTACAAATATCAAAAACTTCTTAAATTATATCACATCATCAATTTGTACACTAGTTATTACAATAATTGGTGCATATAACATTATTCTATAATTTAAGAGATTTTTGATATTTATAATTTGTATAATGAGTGAGGTTAGTAATAATGTCATTACATATATTGTTACATTAGTTAGTATACTAATGGATGCTTGTAGTATCAACATATCAGATTGGGATAATCCGTCCATACTTGCATCTAGTCATACTTATTCATATTCCTCTTGTGGGACCAAATTTGAATTCACATCAATAATCCAAATAGTTTACTTTGTAAGTTCTGAAATAAATGTCATCTATTCATTAATCATATTATAAATATCAAAAACCTCTTAAATTATGGCGCTGTTTGGGAAGCTGCCAACGAGGCTATTATAACCTCATTTGATAAATAAGCCAAAAAGTGGCACTGTTCACAGGTTTTTTTTTTTTTAAAAAAAAAAAAAAAAAAAAAAAGCACTGCGCTGTCACAGCCGGAAAATGATATATCAATGGAAAAATTACCATTTTGTCCCTTTATATCAATTTAAAAAATAAAAAGTTAGGGACAAATTTGTCATTTTAAATTTAAACATCATTTCAACACACTTTTCAATACAAGAACCCAACTAAAAATTCATCTCATCTTCCCAAATACAAAGCTAAAATAGCTTACTAAAATAGTCAAAAAGCCAAATAGCCTACTAAAATAGCCACTTCCCAAACGAGGCCTATATCACTTCATCAATTTGTACACTAGTTATTACAATAATTGGTGCATATAACATTATTCTATAATTTATGAGATTTTTGATATTTATAATTTGTATAATGAGTGAGGTTAGTAATAATGTCATTACATATATTGTTACATTAGTTAGTATACTAATGGATGCATGTAGTATCAACATATCAGATTGGGACAATCCGTCCATACTTGCATCTAGTCATACTTATTCATATTCCTCTTGTGGGACCAAATTTGAATTCACATCAATAATCCAAATAGTTTACTTTGTAAGTTCTGAAATAAATGTCATCTATATAAAAAATTAATTTCACCAAACATCTATAAACATAAAAACAAATCATATTTTGTTTTATAAAATGAATAGCAAATAAGATTGTAAACTTAAACCATTCATTTTGTAAAATAAATCGTTATATATTTATGTATTTATAGTTGTCCGATAAATTTAATTTTTTGTATGAATAATCTTTACTGTGAAGCCTATAATATAGACAGCTTGAATCATCAAAATAAGTTCGAATTAAAATTCATAAAAAGAGTATGTATAAGTATAGAAATATGAAATATGGACCGGAGCTTTTCCCACTTAGATTTTGGTCCTCTACACTTGTAGATGAAATGATTTACTCAACCACACTAATGGTGCCAATTAAATAAATTTCTTGTACACAGGCTAATGGTTTATTTTCCCTTTTGGCTACATCTGACTTGAATTTTAGGGTATAAACAGATCAATTCGGTAGGAGATTAGTAGAAATTGACAGTTGAATCAAACTAACCTGTTTTGCCTTTGCATTAATTGAAACATTGGTTTGATTTCATGTTTAAGATACTTGAAAGAAGTTTTCCAATTTAACCTACAATAGTGTGACACAATAGGTCTCAACATTTGGTTTGTCACCCAATCAATTATATAGGGCCTAACTGACTTGCCACCTCATTATGAGTTATGAAGTACAGGTGCATATACAGATATTGATACGGATACGATACGGATAAGATGATATAACAAAATTTAAAATATATAGGATACGGTTACGGTACGTTAATAAAATTTTTTATTTTTTTTATAATTTATAATTTGAAATCCAATTTACAAATCAAAGTTCAATACCACAACTAAAAGGAGAAATTACAAAATCAAAAGAAAAATTATAGTTCAACAATATCAATACCAAAGCAAAGTTTATAAGCTATTTTAATGCCATGCCATTAAACAGGAGAGATTACAAAATAAAGTTTCATTTCAAAAGTAAGTTAAGTAAAATTTAAAAACTTGAAATTTTAATTTTAACTTCTATTAACTTCATCATTGAATAATATATTTTTCTTTTCTGGCACATAAAGTAAAAGATTTGTAATTTCAAGTAAATAAAAACTCTCTAATAAATTAAGTGTATCCCTATCAATGTCTCATAACTTAGGCCTAGTTTGGGAAGACTAAATAAGTGCACTTTTTGATTTTTTTTGTATTATGTGTAGAAAAAGTAGAGAGGAGATGTTGATTGATGTGACCCAAAAAAGATAAAAAGATGAAATAAGTGCACTTTTTTGGCAGTAGCCAAACTTAGCCTTAGTATACTCCCGATGCACCCATGAAGTATCCATGGAGTATCTAACTGTCAAAAAATGTATAAAAACTTCCAGTGCATATTTCGAGTATTAGTATGCATGGAACCCTGTCAATACGAGTACCAGTACTCGGTAAGTACTCGATACGAGTACGACGATATTTTCAGAGTACTCATGCTTCATAGATTATAAATCAATTTGTGGGTATAAAATTGTGAGCTTTTAGAATTACTTTTTCCCCAATTGAACCAATTTTTATTTTGACAAAAAAAGGCCTAAATCGTTAACAAAAATGACGAATCACTTAAATACGTATAACAAAATGCAAATCCAATTCAACAGATCTTTAACAACTACACAAGTCTTTCGACTTAAACATTAAATAAAGAAATCATATTGTAATTCTATTCGTATTGTAAATAATCTTCTATTGATTGACAAAATAAATGAATAAATAAATAAAGAAATCAGTCTTTATTTTCTTCTAGATTGTATCTTTAGTTAGATGGTTTCTTCTTCTTAAACCTTTTATTCTTCTTTTTTCCCTTTATTGTATCGTAAGATCTTTGTTTTCCCTTTTTAAACCTTTTATTCTTCTTTTTCTTTAAAAAAGAGCAATTCTCCATCTCGTATTATTTAGTGAAAAATGTAAGATATTTGATTATATGTTTACACTTCAGGAAAAGACAAGAATGACAGTGTACATAAAGAAACCAAAGATACAAGGAAGTATTGTTTAAAATTAGGAAAAAATTATGTAAATAGTCCCTGTATTTTACATGATGTATCAATTTAGTTCTTATAGTTTCAATTTGCTCGATTTTGCCCCTTAATTTAACGGATTATGTCATTTTAATCTAATAAATAACGGTTCTTAAGTTAATTTAACAGAAAGTCAAACAATGTGTCAATTTGGTCCTTATATTTTTCACAATGTGTTAATTTAGTCCCTATCAAAATTGAGAAAATTGAAACTACAGGGACTAAATTGACACATCGTGTAAAGTATAGGGACCAAATTAACACATTATTTGACCTTCCGTTAAATTAATTTAACAACCGTTATTTATTGGACTAAAATGACACAATTCGTTAAATTAAGAAGTAAAATTGAGCAAATTAAAACTACAAGGACCAAATTGACATATCATATAAAGTACAGGAACTATTTGCATAATTTACTCTTAAAATTATACATGTTTGGTCGGTTTCGATCTAACTCGGTTTTCATGTTTTAAGAGAATCGACATAGAACCTGGAATTGAATTTTTTGAATTACAAAATCTAATCAAATTACTCCATTAGAAATTGACCAAAACCGACAGACTTTGACCAATTTGTTTGATCCAATCAGTTTTTTCAATTTTGCTTACAATTCTACCAAATATTGGTTTCAATCTATGTTATTTGCAATGTGGATTGTTTCAGTACTTGCTATGGGAATATGGTACGTTACATGTTCTAAAATATGATATGTTAAAACCTATCACCTACTTCACCCACTTAAACCTACTCCACTAAACCTAACCCACTACACCACTACCACCTCACCTACTCCATTAAACCTAACCCACTACACCACTACCACCTCCACTTCACCTACTCCTTACCTACTACACACTCACCCTCTTCTATATATAGGAATCATGAATCATTGTAATAAAAATTAACATATAACATTATATCAATCAATAATACAATTCTCTATTTCTCTTTATACATTAAATTTCAACATGGTATCAGAGCAGATTTAGAACCTAGTATTTTCGCTTCCCGGCGGGCGGCAACCTCACCTTAGCCGCCTGCCGGATCTCAACCTAATCCGCTGGAGTTTCCTACACATACCTTAACTCTTCAATCAAGAGGGGGCGATTGGACAGTGATGGCAGCGAAGCTGAAGCTCATCTTGGCAATCTCAGAAAAGGCGGCGTTTCG